TCCCGCTTGCCACATTTTTGTGCGGCTGTAAGGTTAGAGATAAACTTTCTATCGCGGTAGTGATCAAGGGTCTTGAGAACTACGGAGATGAATATATTGGCGAAATGAGCAGACCTTTGTGTATCCGTGTAAAAGATAAACGAAAACTAAGACGAAGCACCCCACTAGGCACGCATAGGATACAAAGGCATAGCCGAGACGATTTTGAAGTAAAAGTCAATATCCTTGCACAGGAGTCCAAAACACCAGCGCGAAAACTTTTTGAGGTTTTTTGGATAAATGCCAAAAACCTTACAATGAATAGCAGGGATGAATGCCAGAGGTCATACGCGACCTGACCCCTTATGTTCGCATCAATTTTTGATGTGGGATGGTGCAGTCGTCAACCACATGCGACTATAATGAGCTGTTCTAAACTTCCTCATTGGAAGTCACGTAAAAAGCGGTGAGTTCTTCGAGAAGCTCTTGATCATGTAATTACCATAGAGTTTTTCGTCTTTTTGTAAGTGTTATTGAAGCGTTTAGTCTAGTGGATTGTATACCAGTATACCCTTCCAGGCTCTGAAGTAGGCGATACTGCCGAAACGTCAGCTAGCGTTGTATTGTATTGTGTTTTTATGGAAGTAAATGTATGCTGTTTAAAAACCTCGCGATTGCTGATCAAGAAAACGACGCATTCATATAGATGGGAGTACCGTATTTAGCTCCTTACATAGTTGTTCCCTTCGTTGTAACCTGTAGTAGCAACTATCGCCGGCAATGGTTGATAGTTGCTAGTCACCCATGGAAACTCAACACGTACATTACTCCGGACTACAGGTGTTGCGGTTTGGAACGAACGCGTTATTACCCTTTCCGCGAGCTAGCGTGCTCAGCACCACACCTTCGTTTCGCCTGTCTCTCAGCTAGTTCTATCGATCAGTGCCATCAGTAATCACTCGTCAACGGGGTTGAACTGGGGAGCTCCGCATGATTGTGGTTGTATTTCACATAATACCCTAGCGTGAAAAATCTCAGTAAGCAACAAATAAAAAGTTGACATATGTATTACTGTATCTGAGAAATCGCAGAGTATAACCAGTCCTATATCGCCTCCAGGATTTCCGATTCCGAGGTGGAATGAGGAAACCTTGTCATGCTTAGCAATATCCTGACCTGATGCAAATATCTGCGCTAGACGTGATACTCCTTCTATTATTGCGATTTTTTCTCCTTACAAGTACAGTAAGGTAGTGAAGTAAGAGCCCTCCTTACATACTCCTTTTTCTCCTCTTCTCCAATTTCTAAAATTTATTGCCATTTCATATTGGTAAGAAGTATGTTGTTCAGATTTCTTTAGGATTCGACCGATGGCGGAAGTATGGAGAAGGCTATCGTCTACGGTGCTGGAGATGAAAGTAGGTGAAAGGTTGCAATGAAAGGATTCTGACACAGTGATATTCGCATAATGCTAAATATTCTATGTATTTGTAAGCAAGAAAGATTTAGAGGCACATCGAAGAACTCACCACCGGTCACTTCTTACTGGTGTTTTCTTCATCGATGTTAATTTATAACTAGTAATTATATGATTTCAATCTATGGAAAGTTGGTTATAAATGTGAGCTCTCTGTACTTTTAGTTCATGCAAAGAACGAAGAGGAAAATAGAAGCACGAGAGAAGAAACTGCGAGAAGAGGAAATGAGAAAGCAGTGCTTTGAGAATGGAGAGGATCCAATGGAACCCAGGGCCAAACAGTTGTAGGTGCTTTTAATGGCTTGTTGTCATCCCTTTTCCCTCAAATTATAGATGGATATATATATATATATATATACGTATTTGCATTTGTATTTGTGTATACATTTACTTATATTCGTATTATATGTATACCTACTACTTGGATACTTGGACAGAAAGCCCTCACTGGTTGTGCGGGCTCCAGCAGACTCTCCATTTTTCGGCGTCTTGCTGGCCTAGCCTGTGGGATCCTGCCGAGGGTATGAATCCCCCGCTGTTCATCGTAGATCGCAGCCCGACACCCAGGAACACTTCCCAGCCACGATGAGACGACGGCAAACTGTTGAGAAAATTATATGTATGTATTTGTATACATGGGCGTGTGTAGTAAAGTGATCGGAGACCTTGCAGTACACATGGGATCGATCCCTGCTCTTCAGGCCCACCAAGCGCTCCATCCATCCGGGGTTGGCGAATTTGTACAAGACTTGTCTAGGCATCGGTAGGCCACCGTGTCATTGTAAGAGCCAGATATACTATTTAATCGCCTTCAAACGATGATTAATGAAGTCGAATGCATGGCTCATCCCTCAGGGAGAGATCAACGGCGAGAGCTTCGACTTTCTTTTTCTATATATATATGTATATAATAAGCTAAAGAATTTGACATTATCGTCGAGAAGCCAAAAGTAAAGACGTTTCACGGCAGAGCACAATGGGCTTGCTACCCGTGGATGCTTTCTTGCTGAAGACGATAAAGGTAAAAAGCATCATGCCAAATGCGATGCTGGCCGAGACACTCGAGTTGGCGGTGCATGGTCGATTTTCCCAGTGATTAAGGAAAGGAACACATTTCCAACTATCTGGCAAACAACTGAGTAGTATCTATCGGCTTATACATGATTGAATGTTCCCAATAACTGTAAGCAATAACCTTGCTCTTTCGATTTAGGCGGTTCGAATTCTCAAATGATCTGACGTACCTGGAAGGTTTGAAGTTTGGACGAATGTCATTTAAAGGTTGTAATCCGGAAGTGGAGGTAATAGGTCTCCATATTTCTTCAGCAGCATTAGCTCCACTATTTTTTAAATTCTCAGAAACTGATGGTTTATTATGAGCGTAAAATGAAAGGAGAAGACTCGGACTCGGACTATGAGGATGGGAAGGATGTGGGTGATAAGGAAATGGCAAAAACGTAAGTCCCAGCAACGACTAAAATGCTTTAGACCACATCAATTTCCTTTCGTTTAAAGTTGTTCCACTTAAGACTCCGCTCTGCCACTTTGACGAATGCTCAGAAATCAAAGCTCATTAAAAGTCGAAAAGTACGTCTTTCTTTCCTAAAGGTCTAATCTGAGGACGATTTACAACTCAATAAACTCGCCATTCGTTGAAAACACTGACTATTGGTGTACAATTTAGCAATCGCACACTCACTCTAGAAGTATGAAAGAATCTTCTGGTAGAAGGTTGAACTTCACCGACATTCGCAAAAGAGGAGCTATTGGCACATGGGCAAGCGGTGACTCGAGAAGAAAATTGAGAGGAGACAACTAACGCTTAGTTCTCCGTCTTCTTATTGCTACGTTGGGAAATAAATTCCAGGGCTCTAAGTTATTTCGAAGGAACGTTGAATGTCAACCGATATTACGGGAGGATTAGCGTCGTTCTATCGATCTCATTCAAACTATTTTGTTGGTAATTGTAAGGATAGGATAGCCGTTCCTTCAATTTGTCTTCAGTTACAAATAGTCAAGTAGACGTAGCTTATATTTGTATAATATATCTTTATTTTGACAAGCAGATTAACAGTAGTAAGAAAGGATTGTGATGAAGAATGGTCATGTACAATAACGAAATTGTAACAACACTAATAAAACTCTAGTTCATCTTGTTGCCTTTGGATCTACCGGCTTTACGTTGAGACTTCAACACTTTCAGAATATCCTGGAATTAATATTAGTTGCTAACATGAGTTAACGAGAATAACAACAGTTATGCACCTGCTTTACACCTTTCCTCCGCAACGGGATATAAGCGTAAGGTTGAAGCTTCTTGTTTTTAGCATTTTTGCCTTTAGAATGTCGGCTTTTCCCGTTTCTCAATGATGTATCACGATTTATACCTTGACTAGTACCCGTTCGCCAGCTAGACGTTCGACTACCCGACACCACACTCTGAAGCAGTATTTTAGAACGTGAACTTTAACTAGTTTTTTTTCCATCCAAACATACTTTCGGGTTAAGATTCTCACTATCATCATCGGAATCGCTACTCATGTCCTGTTTTGTCTTCTTGCCATGTTGGACAAAATCGTCCATTTCGTCAAGTCCGTTTCTCCTCTTTCTGTTTGTCCCCTTTATGTCCTCATCATCATCTGAAAGAACATGAAGCCCAACATACATCTGATGTCTAGGTAGTGAAACAACGGACACCACTGTCAGCGTCATTGATTACTCAAAAAATCAAAACAAAAGTAGTAGGAAAGATAATCGCTACCAGTAATAACTAGTTTGCCGTCCTTTGATGTTTTGAAAGCAAAACCGCTGTTGTTTTTCCGTTTGACAATCTTTTTCTGCTGCTTAGTGGGGTCACAAGTGGTGACCTGAATTTCGAATTCAAAATAACATGCTTAAAAAAGATTTGGTATAATATAAATGGATATTGAACCTTGAGTATCATCCTCTTTCTATCTAGGAGATCAGTAGAATCACCCATATCCGTGTCTTCCTTTAACCACACACTACCCGTTTGGCTTCGCATTTCAGTTAGTCGTTCTTCACCTTCACTCTCTGAAGCATCGCTGTCCTCTAGTAATTTCAAAATTGTATCTGCTCCCGCTGTCCGAGATGTAAGGCGCGAACCACTTCCGCTCATGCTACCTGCCATTTCATACTTTTAAAACAAAAGTTTCAAAAAAGAAATCTTTTATGAACCACACCATCATCAGAATCTTTATTTGCAGGTCCTTCACTTAGTAGACGTTCTTTTCTTCTAGACAGCCTTCCTATATTTTTCATTTGTTTCACCCAATCGAGTTTGCTGGTATATTTAAGTAGGATGTCTATTCCAAATCTTGCAACAAGGACTTCTAAAAGCAAGCGGTTTGCCTTACGCACCTGCAAAAAAACTTTGTTTTCATATATCCTCTCAGTATAAAAAAGCTCTAGGAACTACCTTAGATGTAACATCACACGTCGGCTGCCCATCAAAAATCGAACATAGAAGTAATTCACGATATTGTTGCAAGGCGTATTCTGGCAGTTTTTTTGCTAGCACTCGCAGCAACCTATTGGCACTTGTTTTTAAATGTGGTCGCAATATTAATAGAAAAATACATACCTGATGACTAAAATGCGGACAGGAGGACGTCCGTCTCCGATCCAAGCACACCCATGAGCGATGAGACGCGAGATGTGACTGCCGTTTAGAACCTATAACTGACTCCCAGCATACGCTTTAAAAACAGATCATACACCAACCTACCCTAAGTTGTTTTTGTGCGACTATGTTCAGCGCAACTAACGTTGACCTCGCTGCGCATAGATCTACAGTACCGTTATCACAACTATCAACGGGTGTCATCAACTCATAGATCCGAGATAACAAGTCATTTACCACTGCTGAAGGATGCTGACTGAAAAATCTCTTCGCTCTTTTTTGAGCATTTAGGTGAAAAGAAGCTAAATAACAAGGTACCTTTCCTAAAGAAGAAACTTACCCATTTTCTCCACCAACTTGAATCAACTTGTTGAACATATGCTGTAAACATTTGCTGGCATTGGAGCGAGCATGGGTGCTATTTGACTGGAAAAAAATGGTACAAAAAGCAGGACAAAAACAGATGTGCAGTATTTAATCATTTTTTGTTTATAGAACACAATAATTGATACCTTATCTAGTGTTAAAACCACGGCGTCCAGTGATTTCAGACAGAAATCGCAAAGTTTCGGAAGATCATCCATAGAGTCAACAACACTTTGAATGCATGCACACTATAACAGGATGTGAAAAAAACAGAAGGAAATGAGACACAAACTACCTATGTTATCTAAGCAACAACGAAGACGCACAAACGCGGCTCGAGCTGGTGGAACTACTGTGTCGATCGGACGTAACAACGCGTTCACAAAGTCGGACGATCTTGATAAGAAGAAAGGTTCTAATTCTGGTGAAATGCTGGAAATTTAAAATTAATAAAGCCGGTCTTTATAACAGGCGGTTAGTGATATTCCGTCCATTTCACATGGGCTAACGTCTCAGATTAATGCAGGATTCTAGATTTTTAGAGTCTGTAAGAATGTATTTTAAAATGCAGCTTACTCAGTGGATGAATCTTCGCACGATCACGAAAAGAAATCAGAACGTGGATTATAATCACATGATCAATCTCTATGTAAAGATCCACGGTTTCTTCACTTTTCGTTTACACTTAAGAAGTATTAACAAATGGCACGTTCTGAAGAAGTCACAAAATAACTGTTATGCATTTGCATATAATGTGCGCTTAGTGGAACACTTCGTTGAAGTCTAACTTTTCCATCGTTTTTCTTCGCAGACATGAAACAGTCCACTCAAATTTGCCTTCAAAACAAATCATGTAATGTTGTGAAATAAAACCATACTGATGCTGAGATATTTGCAAAACCCCTAAACTAGCTAAGAGACAGGCGAAACGAACGACCCGCATGGTGTGGTGGTGAACGCGCTAACCCTAGGAAAGAGTAATAAGCGTGTTCGATCCTCATCGCAGACACCTGCAGTTCGGAGTTTTGGAAATACCTCAGCATCATTATGCTTGTATTTCACATAATATCCTGCCTGGAAAATTTAATAGGCAGAAACTAAAAAGTTAACATCGTGCAATATTGTTTTTGACAGGCGATCATATATCTTGTAGTGTTTGTTAATAGCTCTACCACTGCTACCGATTTCTTTAGACCAGACGTTTTCAAACACGGCTTACGAAAGATTATATAGGAGGCAACATGATCATGTATGTAGTTTCTCCCCAAAATCTGTGGTGGCTCTCCTTAATTTGTTATAAGAGATGGCTACAGGAAATGCCAAGTTATGTAATTTTTCCCTCCCCTTTCTTTCCAGATATATCCTCAGCAAGAAGATAAAAGGCAAGTACCGTCCTTATTATGTGGCTCATGGGAATATTTTGAAAGATAGCCGTTCTAGGAAATGTTTACTTTAGCGATTAGACATTGAAAAAAAGAACTCTTCTAGCCACTCTCAAGAGGATTTAAAGAGCTTCATCTTTCTACTCAACAATCGAACCATATTTCTTCTCTCAAACGTCTACTTACTGTTTGGATCAGATGGCAAAATAGTCATCGCTTTACTTAATTTCGTACATGAAGGAGATAATAAGACTTAGCGCCAATCGTCCAGTTGTCAATCAACAGATAACCCAATCCTTTAAGAAAGGTATGAATTATTGAACATACAACTCAACACATTTTCTATGTTCTAAAGAATTTGTAATTTTCCGACTGAGACACAAAAGTTGTATTAACAGCCTTACCACAAATCACACACATTGATAAGATTAGTGAAATAGGAGAAGATGAGTGTTTTTCTTTTCACAAACCTTTTATTCGAAATCTCCTCCAAAATCCGAAAGGCCTTCTTCTGCACCTCATTTATGGCGAACCAAGGATTTATAGTATCCATAACTTTGCCCAATGTTGTGCAATCAGCATTCCGTACGATAGCACACAAAATGTCGAGAATCCTAGCCTAAATATATCATGCTGATAATTTCTAATAATGTGTGCTTAAATAAATTCAAGTGGTGTTGTTGCCTTATAACAATCACCTTGAGGACATTATTTTCAAATTTGAACAAATCTACAACAAACTTGTTTAACTGCATCATCAAACGCATCGTTGGCTTTTGTGATGGCTGCGTCGACGAACTGTGCCACCAATCTCTTAGGCGTAAGGTCTGCATAGGCACGAATCGTTTCCAGTATAGCCATCCTGTGTGATTTTCATTAAAATTTGTTTACCATGAATGATATAATTCCCCAAACCGAAACAAAGTGATAAGTTATATGTAGTTGTTCACAAAAGCTCATTTATATGCTGTTATCTTTTAATAAATTGATTACGTAAATAGTATTTTAATCTGAGAATTTCGAGAAGATGGTAAAATGGTAGATGGTAAATGGTAAAATGGAACTGGTAAGGAAATCCAAAGGATATCAAAAAAAATAAAAGTAAGAAAAACGAAATCCGAGATTACCGTGGTCCTTTGTCCGCACTACCGTCGCTAGAAGTCGTAGTATATAAATTGAACAGCAATGGCATGAAGTTTTTAGCGTAGGCACTGACAACCTTAACATATAATGTGCTACATTAGGTTACGTCAAAACTTTTACCCATAAAATATGGCATACTCATACTGCTTCCAAAAACGAAAACACTTAATACCCTCCACACTCGTGAATACTTCTCTTTATTGACAGTGGAGTCATCTAAGATTTAAATGAAAAAAGCCGCCAATCTGCGTCTACGTTAAGCTGTTCAGGGAGAAATACCTGACCATTACAAATGCCGTACCTCAGCTCGTTCAGGGAATGCGTCTGGTGAAAGACAGAACCGCGAAATCCGACGTAAAGCAGAAAGGATTGACGGTCTGAGATCATGCCGTTCGTTCAATGCCGCACCGAGCACCTGCGCATGTTCTCAAAAACATTATGAAAATCGTTCAAAAGCAAAATGTTTTGTCATAACCTCACTGGAGCCAATTGGGGAAATGACTTCTCAATATCTGAAGGTGAATCACAAAACGACGGCAGCAATTCCCACAATTGTGCTTGTAATGTCGTATACAAACGCCTTGGTACGGGATCCAATGAGCCAAGTCTCCTGAAACAAAAGACGACCACTACCAGCGGTAGAACTGCTTGAAGTACAGGCTATTCACCAAGCATAAAATCTATAATCGGGTACTGAAAACCTACTACACGTTTTTACAACGGCAAAGCCTTTGTGAGAATAAATCACAACAAAAATACCTATGGATTTTCATCGCCAGAGGAAGGAAATAGGACGAAAAAAATTCGAGTGGAGCATTATGCAAATTAACACGCAGTATGGGGATCATCCAAGAGCGAGTGAATTCAATGTCAAGAATCGCTGCATCAGTATCAATGCCAAGTGGTATAGCGGACAACACGGCTGGCGCTCCAACATGACGCACAGCACACCCCACAGTCTAAATTGAAGCTAACAGAAGCAAAAAATATATATGAAGAGCCGATGTCTTTACAGAGCACACGAGACACACTTACGAAATCAAGCTCCTGCCTACAGAAACTGTCATTCCCCTCGCGTAATAGCGCGAGCGTTTGCATTGCTTTGCAGAATTCTTCTCCAGTAATACCAATACCAGCAACTTCAAAGAGACGCATTTCCGATCTACAAAATGTGTAGGTTTAGAAAAACATAATACGCAAGTTCGAGCACTGAGTGATTCTACCTTAACACGTATTTCCAAACAGTCGTCGAGTGTACGTTAAGAGCCTGATCCAGAAATGTGAGAAGACTTTTCGCACAGTTCTCATTATCCTGTACACTCCTTTCGATTAGTCGGGCAATGATCTAGAAGACATTACCATGACGATAAGAACAATGCAAAAAAACTGTTCCATATACCTGATATGTCACTTGTGCAAGCTGCTCATTTCCAGTGTCAAATAATTTGACAACTATTTCAAACGTCGATGGAAGTAGTCCGTAACACCTAAACTAGAAGCTATGAACAAATTAATTCTAGCATAAGTTTTTCGAACACAAATCGCATTGAAAGTAAGGCCGACGAATGGTGGCAAGAATAAACTGTTCTAGCAACTTCCACAAATCCTGGTTCAAAAAACATAGAACAACTAAGCAGTGAGGAAGTAACTCTAAAGAACATTGCAGGATAAACGAAACACCAGAAAATCTCTTTATAAAGAAACCCATTATACTGAGAATGTAGTGATCTGGATTGATTATGTCCAAAAAAATCGTTCTTCTGCACCTGTTCGGATCTTTAGCTGTGAGACACACATGTGTTTCTGCCAATGCTTGCATCCAATAGGCACAAACGGTGACATCCTCGCTAGGTGGACAAAGCTCCCTAAGAGCTTTCAAAATCAAAACGTTGATTTCGACAGACAAAGCAGCATCACAAGGTTGACGCTGCAAGCAACGGTTCAAACACTGTAGTGCGCTGCATTTGACCTAAACAATTTCCTAATAAAAAGTGGGTTAAAAGGAAAGAAAAATACAACGTTCGTCAACAAACCATCCGATCTGCAACAGCTAAAGATCTGAGGATAAGTTCCGCAAGCTGTTTAAAAAGATTTGAAGGCATTTTATGCATAATTCCTTCCAGAAGGCATAAGTAACGTACAGCAGCCATATCCCCACTTCTAGATTCTGAAACAATAACACTTTAAAACTTGTAAAATTTGGCAGCTTATGTTACACACTTAATGCTGCCTGCAAATGTTGTTGTACAAACGTCCCAACGCTAGGAGAAGCAGCATGGAGCCCATTATCCATTGCTGTCACAGGATCAGTGAGGACGGCTCTCACCACACGACGAGCCATTGTGCGTACCCATGGCTTTTCATGCACGCACAGAGCCGCAACAGAAACCAATATGCTCCTAATTTAAGAAAAGTAAAAATTCCAGTAGTGAAAATATCAAATTCCGATTAAAAAATTAAAGGATAAAGCTCTCGGCGTTAACCAATCCCTGAGGGATGCATTCGACTTCACTAAGCATCGTTGAAGGTGACTGAATGCGTAACTGGTCTTTATAACGCGGTGGCCTACCGATGTATGTAGCCAGTGCTGCTATCCTCCTAGACAGGTCTGGCACCAACTTACCAACCCAGGAGGGATAGAAGGCTTGGTGAGCCTTGGGCGCCGGGATCGATCCCATGTGTAATGCAGGGCGCCTCCGACCATTGCACAACACGCGCGCTTCAAATCCCGATCAGGGAAAAATAGCAAAACTGTAAGATACCGCACTTTGTGTTCGCTGCGTTCCAGACGTAAGCTGGTTGAGCTCGTAGAACAACTCCCAAAACAGATAACAAATACTTTAGTGCGGAACCCTCAGCATTTTCAGAGTTCTCCAGTATTTTTGTATATAAAACCTGCAATAAGAAAAAGCAAAACTTGATAGCGAACAAAATTTAATGGCGAACACACCTGAACCGTCCTTGCAAATTTGGATTGGAGGACGTCCTTTGAGACTTTCTTTACAATTAACTGCAGCAAGAAAGATATTGCAGCAGCCCTACAAGGTTCGGAAGTAGAAGACCCTTCAAGGGTGGTTAGGAGAGCGGCAAAGTACTCCACATCTGTTTCAGAACCTACAAACCTAAGTATTCATACTCCGAACCCAGCCTTCTATTTATAGAAAAGGAAAGTTGAGGACTCAAAAAGAGCTCCTTTTGCAGGATACTTCCTCATACGAATAACTAACCCTTGTGCTCCTTGATTAATTCTGCTACAGCAGCCAAAACCACCACAACTTCTTTCTGCATGGGGGAACCGGATCTGAAGACTTATGAAAACTAACTACAGTAAGCTAAAAGTTAAGAATACTTACTTCCAGATACGATGGACCGAATCGAAGCTGTGATTTGTACAGGCAGTAAACTGAGAAATTCGAGAAAGAGCTCCATCCGAAACCATGCTCTTATTGGAAAAGTCCTGCTTGCGATCAATGCTCATTCCTCCCTAATGTTATCAAATACGGAGCACGCACAGTATGAAAGATAGGCCTAAGCAGAACTCTTGTGTGCACACTACAGTACTAATGTGCATTCTGTTAATAATTCTGTGTTCAACTGGTTTAAAGAAAAACTGTTACCGAAACTGTAATCGCCTCTACTAAACCAAAGACCTACAAGTTTATCGAGAAGGTGATTCGCAGCCTCGGGTCGGTCGTCAACAGCCTCCATCATTCCGGTGGACAAGGATCTCGCTCGAGCGGCCCCAGCGGCTTCACGATGTCGATGTTTCGTTGGATTACTCTCTGAGCTAAACCATACATTATACGCTGAAACAGCGAGCAACAATAAGTGGAGAGCTCACCACATCCCCTTTTTGATGCGAATTTTCGTCTTCTTGTGGATGCGGTGGCGATACTTCCCGACCATCTTCCGGAAACAAATTCGAGTACAGTCTCAAGACTGGGAAACAACTTCTGAAAACAATTTCGGATGCAACAGAGACGGATATTCCTGACAAAATCCTAAAGACCAAGCTAGGTACGGCCACAATAATGTTGGAAAGCAGCATAATCCATATGATCCTAAAACTCTCACGAAGTAACTCGTCCACAAAAATGAGCAGGATTATAGTTACTACTAATCCCCCATTTCTAGAAAGCCACTGTTGTCACAAATACTCAGTTTGGTTAAAAATTAAATGCCAAGAAAAGAACATTGAAGACTAAACAGCAGAATAGAAGGAATGAAGTTAAACGTGAATGGAAGTACTTTTATGTGTTGGACGAGTTTCCGCCCAACGGTCGTCGCGTCCTTTAAGTGGCACTTGCGTAGAGGGTCGAATGTGGTGGATGGCAGAGGGGGTGGGACGCAGCAGTGCTGGGCAGAGGTTTCCAGTGGGTCCAATGAATAGTAGGGGGAAGGGAGCGGTGCTGAGCGGAGAGTGCTCCGATGGGCCCGGTTGTGTTGCAGGCCAGATGAAGCCGGGGACTGCACGGAACGTTCCGGACTGTAGATTGCCCATATGGGTATTCCAGAGACAGAACAATTTTTTGCTGCCTTTGTTTTGAAGCTGACGAAGTAACATGTGCATAGTAACGAAGTCCTGATCACATACGGTAAACCTTCAGCTACGTAGCTCGTCAGTGCGGATTGTATTCTACGAGTCAATTCGGCCAAAAGGCTGCAATCAAGTAACAGAGAAGTATATTGAAGGCTGTTAAGAGTCGCCTCCAACAAGTAAGTTCCACGTCTACTCTGGGAGAGACTGCCAAGATACTCGTGAGTATACCTAGGCCTCACGTTCAGAGCTCAGCAAGCTGTGCGAGGGTATCAAATAGCTAAACACAATAAAATAAACGGGTCTCATTCCCCTACCCGAAAAACCCCGATATGACAGCGTTAGGTAAGATGAGTATGGAGACGCTACTGAAACCTCAGGGCCATTCTACACGCACACTTGTATTTGAGACCTCGACAAAAGACTTGATTATGCAAGCAACAAGGATAAGGTACGACGTAATCGGCCTGGCCGAGATGAGACTGCGGCACCCATTCGCCGCCATCTAGGACGCCCGGCGAAGAACTGTTCCTCGGAACGTGCAACAGTAGAGGAGTCGGTGTTCTCGTCAACAAGAGCTTGTCCATGAACATCGATCCATTTGAACAACAAAGAACCTGAATCAGATGATCATGATGTGGAGCAATACCGTACTTGACAATCTTTGTCGTTTACATGCCGACATCACACTATGACGAAGAAGAAGTCGATGCGTTCTATATAGACTTCGAGAAGTTCTGCAGAGAATACCATGCGTACTTGAAAGTTATCATTGGAGATATTAACGCTAAGACTGGACCAAGAAGAACGTCACATTGGGACCCACGGATGAGAATGGAAAGAACAGGGTGAGCAGTTGTACGACCAAGACCAGTAACTCGCAATTCCAGAAGCCTCACTCTCAACGCTGGACGTGGAAGTCTCCCAGTGGAGAGCACCATAACAAAATTGAACATTCATAGCAAAACGAAGGTTTTTCTTTCTCGCAGTTGTCCTAAAAATCTACACGCTAACCGGCCATCGCCTCCTTCGTACAAGATTTCATTTTTCGCGCAGAGGAGGAAAAGCTGCTAAATTCAAAAAAGAAGTCCCTAAACCACCATAAACTGGGATTGGTTAAGTTCACTATTAGGCTGTTAGGAAGATGCCTTTCACGATAACATCGATGAGGAATACAGTCGACTCATTCAACATTCTCATGTTGGGGCGATGAAAGCTGAGAGTTCGAAAGTCACCAAGAGGCGCCTGTTTCCAGAAACACTCGAGCTGATACACCAGCATGGAATCGCACGAGCTGCAGGCAACCGTGAACTAACGTCCGAACTTGCAAAACATTGCAGACAGGCGATAAAAGAAGATCTTAAAAAGAACAGAGCAGCAGTAATGGTCGAAGCTGCAGAGCCTGGGAAAAGCATTCGCAAAGCCCACCGAAACTTCGCCAATTACAAGACCAAGATGATTGCACTCTAACGCCCAGACGGAACAGTTACACCGTCCAAAAAGGCAATGGAGAAAATCATTCACGAATACTAAGATCTCTTCGACAGCCAAGTCCGCTTTTCGTCATATGAAATAAAGAAGGATGGATATGTTGTACCATCGGTTCTCCCCTCCGAAATCAGACATGCCATTTCGTCGGTGAAAAATCGAACAGCACCAGGTCCGGACAGGATAAGACCAGAACACCTGAAGAACCTTCCGCCAGTCCTCGTAAACACACTGGCTCGGCTCTTCACACGTTGCCTGTCTGAATGCAAGGTCCCTACTCAGTAGAAGACCAGCAAGACCGCGTTATTGTTCGAGAAGGGTGACCTACACGGTATCGGCAACTATCACCCAGTCTGCTTGCAGTCTGTCGTCTACAAACTTTTCACTTAAGTCATCCTAAACAGGATTGACAGAACACTGGACGAAAGACAGCCACGTGAGCAAGCAGGGTTTCGAAAAGGATTTAGTACGATGGACCACATCCACACGGTAACAAGGCTCATTGAAGTATCACGAGGGTACAAAATACCGCTCTGTCTCACTTTCATCGATTTACAGAAGGTCTTTGATTCAGTTGAGATAGAAGCAGTCTTGGAAGCCCTTGATAGTCAAGGAGTCCCTACTCAGTACATAAAGATTCTTCGTGAGCTGTACAAAGATTTCACAACCAAGATGTTACCATTTTACAACGATATTAACATCGACGTTAAGAGAGGGGTTAGGTAAAAGGTGATAGCATCTCGCCAAAATTATTTACCGCCACCCTCGAGAACCTCATGCGGAAATACTGAAATGGGACAACATGGGAGTGATAACTGATGTTCGACAACTGCACTATCTTCTCTTTGCTGATGTCATCGTTCTTATAACACCAAACATTGTCCAAGCGGAATGAACCCTTGCCGACTTTGGTAAAGCCTGTGGAAAAATTTCTCTTCGGCTAAATCTCACGAAATCAATGTTCATGACGAACGGATTGGTTACGCATGCGCAATTTAAGCTAAACGGAACGAATATCTCCGAATGCTCCAGTTACGTCTATCTAGATCGGGGCATCAGCATGGTAAACGACTTATCTGCAGAGTTGAGCACAAGGGAATGAGCGGCTTGGGAAGCTCTCAAGAGAAAAGCATCCTGTGTCACACGAGTAAAGGAAGGGATGCAAAGCTACGACCTGCACCAATGATCAAAAATCAAAGATGCAGTTCTGTGCGCAAAACCCTCGAAGATAAGGTGGGCCGCACACGTAACGCGTGTGAACGAGAGAGTCGATGGACAAGACGCGTTAGTGACTGGATTCCTCGGGATGTTAAACGCACTGCAGGAAGACCACCTACGCGATTGTCAGAGTTCTTCACGAAAGGCGTAGAAGAAATGTATGATGCTCAGCGAGTCGCTGGAGTGAGCAGAACGCACAGAGCTACGGAAAAATGCACGCGACACAGAAAAATCGAAGATTTACTGGTGCCTCCTCGAATCATTCAACGATCAACGGGTTACAGATGATATAAGTGATGCAGATGATCACTACTAAAAAGAGTATGCTTGAAATCTTAAGTTTCACTTTTTACCCGTGCCTCATCTCCCAGGAATGCATGGGAGATAATGTATGCCCTTGATCTTCGAAAGCAGCAGCTCCATCTCTGTGTGTTTTGGGCTCGGGTTCTGTATGGGCAGTTGATCAGCAAACAATTGTAATTCTTACCAAATTCATGGAAATGAGCAAAATGAAGTATTATCGAGTCCTGAAGCTGTGTCTTTTTCATGCTTTCTATCTTATCTCGAATATCGTGAGGAACAATTCCAGGTGATGTATTTATTTATATGATTTTATAGACTGATCTTCTTAAGCTAACGCGAGGTTGATACAGGTCTTCGTTGTCGTTGTCGTTCTTTTTGATGTTATTCTAAGTGGTTTTTCTTTCGTGGCGATTTTAGGGTTCAGGAAAAGTGCTGTGGAGCGAAAGAGGTTGGTGTACAGCTTTTCCGTTATCAGTCCCACATCATGACTGCAAGTTGTGGTGATTTTTATCTTCATTAATCATTAGATAAATTTTCTACTTGCACAAATCTCGACGGCATTTCATCAGACTAGTTCCTTTTTGTGCCGCTTCTAACAATTTTCTCCGCCTATACCGATGTAGATTTTCCTGCAAAACTACTGATTATTATTAACCATTACTATTAACCATTGCTCGCTTTAATACTGTTGGATATCATCTTTACTGTTACCTACAATTATTTAATATTAGTATTCTTTTTGGGCGCCTGTGGCGTAGTGGTTGGAGGTGCCACTGGGACGCACACGTGGAATCGATCCCCGCGCCGGTACCAGACTTGTCTGGGAGGATAGCAACATTGGCTCGATACATTGGTAGGCCACCGCGAGTTGTTGTAGAGGCCAAATGTGCATTCAATCACCTCTAAACGATGCTTAGTGAAGTCGAATGCACGGCGCATCCCTCAAGGACTGGCCAACGCCGAAAGCTTTATACTTTTTATCATCTCATTACTATTAATCATTCCTCACTTTAATATTGTCGGAAATTACCTTTAGTATCATCTTTACCTATACAATCATTATCATTATCTTTACTACAATTGTTTAATATTACCTTTCTTTATTCATAATCATATGGGCAGACATCACTTGTTTCACAATTGTCACAATAGTCAATAGTGGTACTCACAGCATCGCATACTGATGTAAATGCGCCTTTCCCTTTAGGTGTTATGATGGATACCTGTTGCAGCCCTTTACTGTAAAATCAAGTTCTGATAATGCTGTGGCGAATACGTTGTCGTGATAAATTATTTTTTCTAGGCCATTCTTCTCATCGAATATGTGGATCCCAGCACTTCTTGCATTTGATTCGTTCCCTCGAATCCATCATCCACGAAGGCCCTCAGACTTTTGTTTAATGTTTGGGCTTGGCTGCAACTTGAGAATCTCTTTGCCTTCGTCTTCGTCACGAATGTTGTTGGGTGCTGGTCGAGCCGATTCTTCTTGGAATTCTGAGATAGCAGTGATAGGGCGTTCCCAAGTGTATTACAGAGAGTGAGCTCGCCTTAGACAGTTCTGGAGCCAATTTCCCAAGCCCGAAAGGATGAAAGGCGTAATGGAACCGGTGCGAGGTCGACCCACTAGCTAAGTAGGCTGGGCCGTCTGCATAAAGAATGGGACTGCTACCACTACGCTATCCGCTCCCTAAACTGTAAAATGCCTACAGAAAATCATCTATATTTACTTCGCTTCGGAATTCTCAATAACTAAGGAGCTTCATTAGGGTCCTTTTATACAGGACTAGTATTGATCGATTCCCGCCTCCAGTGTAATCTACTATAGGCGGGCAAGTTGGTACTTCAATTGCTGGCACGTGCAGGCTCTGAGGATGGCGAATGCGCCGAAACGTTAGCCAAATAGAACTTCTGTGCTAATCTCGTGTCAACTCAATCATGTAAAAAATTATTGATTATCATTACCGAGGTTTAGTGGAACTCGGTCTTTAAGATATTTTGTGCCACGCTTCGTGCTGGATGCTACACCTTTCCATTCTGGTTAGTCACACTGGTTCACAATATTCTTGGTTGATTACTAAATCAGTAATTTCTCTGTATTGGTTGTGGTGGCCTTTAGCTGGGTAGACTGCGGTTTACCTGAAAATTCCAGACTTTGAAAAAGGTGAAATTCGCAGAAACGTCGGCTGTTCCGTCAACTGCGAATAAAGTAGCACCTCGCGTTTGCTCATGAAGACTACAGTGAACTACTTGAGCAAAGCGGAGGTTAATAGAAAGTCGGTCTTGGGAATTTATAAACGATAACGCCATGCATTCATCTTCATTATATATTCCGTTGCACTATCTGTTCTTGAAGAAAATTACATTCATGTAAATAAAAAATAAGGGATATGGCTCTCGGCAATGATCAATCCCTGAGGGATACATCATGCATTCGACTTCACCAAGCACCGTTTAGAGGTGACTGAATGCATATCTGGCCTTTATAATGACTCGCGGTGGCCGGCCGATGCATCGAGCCAGTGCTACTATCCTCCCAGACAAGTCTGGTACAAATTTTCCGACCCCAGAGGTATGGAAGGCTAGGTGGGCCATGGGCGCGAGGATCGATTCCACGTGTGTGTTACCCGGCGCCTCCGGCCACTGCACCACGCGCGCCTCTTAAATTATCATACATTTATTTTTAAACAGCGTTTATTTTGCTTATTTCGTTTTCTTTTATTCTATTTTTTGCACAGCGATTTAGGTTATTGTTGCATGGTGGCCCGACTAAATTTCGAAGTGAAACCATGAAGCCTACATAGGCACTACTCCGCTTTTACAGACCCCCTAGTAAACGAGTGCTGATGGAATGACATTAGATTCGAAGCTGCTGAATGCTTTTTTTCCACCGATGAAAGGTAACAGAGGTGGCATATACTATTCCCAAAAGCCCATTCTGAGCCTAATACGGCATGGATGCAATGTGGCAGAATTCTCGTCGGAATTTCAGTTGCCGAACTGACTGAGATTCCTCTTAAATGCCCGACACGTGTCTTAGAGATAATCTCCATGACAACCCGGAAAGTGCATTTAACAGGCAAATCAAAATCTCATGTGCATATCGAATTGACAGAATTGTTCCACTTTCTATTAGTTTAAAAGTCAAAATAATATCATCAATATGAATGTGTCGTTTTCTTGTTCAGCAATCGCGAGGTTTTTAAACAGCATACATTTACTTCCATGGAGAATCACAATACAATACAACAGTAGCTGACGTTTCGGCAGTATCGCCTTCTTCAGAGCCGCTTTTTTCGTGACTTCCAATGTGGAAGATTAGAACAGCTGATTATACTCGCATATGGTTGACGACGCATGTGGTCGACTGTTTTTCTATGGAAGTAAATGTATGCTGTTTAAAAACCTCGCGATTGCTGAACAAGAAAACAACACATTCATATTCCAATGCCGAGGTTAATAGAAAGTCGATCCTGGGAAATATCGTCAATTTTATTTATTGCCTGCTATTTTTTAATGGTAGAGCATTATGTGGAATATAACCATAATGTCGCTGAGATATTTGCAAAACTCCGGACAGCTGGTGTTTACAGTAGGGACCGAACGCGCTATTACCCTTTCCGGGGGTTAACGCGTTCACCAACATACCATGCGAGTCCGTCTCATTTCATAATAGTACGGGAAACATCCAATACGACGGTGTTCTTCTCGCTTAATGAAAAGAAGGGCTTCCCTCGGTGAAAACCTATACGACGCTGTCCAAAGGTTTTGGTTTCAGCTCAACCATTGGTGGGGCTTTGGATACTCAGGATACTCTTCGATAGTGGGACTGAGCATAGGAGAGCTAATAGCTTCCCTCGGCACAGAAAACATCTAATACGATGGTGCTCTTCTTGCTTAATTAAAAGAACTTCTCGAAGTAACATGTTCTATACCGACTTCCATTCATAATTATAATTCACCAGGATAATTACTATTTCAATTTTCTAAAAAGTTAACATGATGTTGTCATGAAACTTTGTTGAGGCCAACGCTTCACCGACATCATCTTCTTCACTGAGTGACTCAATGATTTGACTCTAGTACGGATGACACTTCGTTCTGGCGAATTGGGTCTTCGTAGTAGAGTGACGTCGAATCGAATAAGGTGTAGCTACACAAGAATGAAGTGAACTTCGTCAACAGTACTCTTTTGTACAGAACGACTTTCGACGCTGGAATGATGTGACCTCACTCTCCAGTCCCACGAGTCCTGTGGACTGTTTCTGCTCGACTGCAACTAGGCTACTATTTCTAGTTTCAAAATCCGCTTTCCTTTAACCTCAGTATAACAAGTCAACATGTGTTTAAATTCTTGAGCTTACACAAGGCTGATAAATAAATCTTATTTGGCTAATGTTCTGACGTCTTCGTCTTCTTTAGAGCCGACGATCCGAGTCGATGCTCTAGTATTTACTAAGAGAGCCGCAATAATGGGAACAGAGTTCCAAAGCGAAGAAGAAATCGACCACATAAACACACCAATTTTGAGAATAATGCTAACTTATTTTCTACCTACTATAGTTTTTCACGGCAGTGTATGATGTAAATTGCAACCACAACAACGCTTGGATATTCGCAAAACTTGGACCTCGGGCTGGACCGAAGCACGATTCCCCTTTCCGAGACCTCGCGCACTACACACTGCGCCATGGAGGTCCATGCTCTGCGTTTCTCTCAGCTAGTTCTTCTACCTAACGCTGCCAGCACCAGTCACCCATCAGCGGAATTTATCTGGAGAGCATAAATCGGCATTAAACCCAGTTAAGCTGAGGCCGTAGTCGAAATCACAATTGCTAATCTTCTATTCTCTGCCTACTATAATTTTTCACGACAGGGATGTTTGAGGATAATTCGAAAGAAGCATTTGTACCGAAGAATTCGTACCAAAGTATTCCAGAGAAAATTGATGCTAGTCAGAAAAGCAAAACTCATGTAATTTCATCATTTTATCAATAGCAATTGATTGATATCCCTCATCGCTACAGTTTATTTGCCAGGAGCAACGAACCGAACACTACTTCCCTCTGTTTCACGAACTGTCACACTGAGCTAGTCATACAATAGTTTATATCATTTAAAAATATCTTTGATCTCCACTCAGAACTATTCTCAACCAGCCAACCAAAAACATTTCATCTTCTGCTAAGAGCACCCAAATAAAAATTATATCATTAAGATTTAAAACGAACATTAAAGAAAGGAACCGTTCCAAATTTTGTCAATTTTACCTCCAAATATAATTTCACGGACCGCATAACAAAGACGTTTAGTCTGTTCATCACAGAAATTCAAGAAGTGGAATCTTCACTCATATAAGACGATCTACGCGTTTTCGCTAGTGGGAAGTTGTGACTGGAAATGGAAGAGCGGCGGCGGCGGCGATGGCGACGAGGATGAGATCATCAGCTGCGGACACATCCTCGCTGTTCGTGCATCTGAATCAGCTGCTGCAACTGATGCAGTGTGCCGCGTAGGCTCTCCATCTCCATATCCAGGCTTTGGGACCGTTGCTTCTCATTGGCTACCTGAAAGCAAATCGCTCACTAAATGGCGAATTTCCTCTTGTCGGCACTTTCCCATTTGTTTTGTACCACGCAGCTCTTATGTGATTAATCACTATTATCGCGGATTATTAAGCTAACAAGAGACTGTTGTAAAACGATATTTAAAGACCTTTCTACAACAACCTCGTTCTAGCTTAAGAATCCGCAAAAACATTACCTATTCGGGGCGAGGTTTAGTGGAAGTCAGTTTTTAAGAGCTTCTGTGATGGTCGTTGGGTTGAATCTTCATGGATCCGTTGATGTTGAGGTAGTAGGAGGTTATTGATTTGCGCTCAGACTGTTTACATTGTGAAAGTGGAATTTTATTTGCGACGTTGTCGTTGGCTGAATCAGCCCTTCTTTTGTGTGCTGAATCATCGACAAGATGTACGACGAGCAGCAACCGACCACTGCACCGTCGAACGACTGCGTATCGATCCGCGTACGAGTTGTCCATGGCCAGCGCCGGAAAGCAGGTCGTACGTCAGCTTTAGCGGGTCACTCGGAATGAGTTCATCACTAACGGGTCTGAGCAGTGTAAATCCGCTTCGGAGGGTGTGAACAGGACGTGCTGAACGTCTAGCGACTAGAACGACGTGAAGAACGTACCATCCTCTCGAGATCCTGAATCCGATCAATTTTCTTCTGTCGGCACTTTGTGGCTGCAGCTCGGTTCCGAGCACGTTTTCGATCCAGCTTTCGCTTTTCCTGCTCGTCCATCACGATCCTGAACTATCAACAGCGTAAATTTCAAAACAAATCCCTAGAGAAATACACTCCCTCTTTTCTCATTGGCAAGAGCATAACTTCTACCTTCCACTTTTAGTATGAAATTCTGATCCCGTGACAGCGCAGAGATGAGTGACAAGGTCTTACCCAGAAGATACACATAAATTCAAACCCTCCAAAATTTAACCCTGGACAGAAAATTGTTCAATCAATAAAATTTGCACTGCATAACTCCTATGAATCTTTGGAATAATAAATAGCAGAGATCATAATATGTCGCCTCTTCCGAGTTTCGCTAAGAGGACCGATATGAGGACCGACCTACAAGGTCTTCAATGGTTTTTGAAATGTGTACTTTTAGGTTAAAGCGCACAACATGCATTGTCTTTCTATTGTATAACACTAGAAATAAGTAGAGCTGAACGAACTGACCATTCGTTATGAGGCGCATGATGCTGCTGGATGTTGTACAGAGGAGGGTTGCGGAGTCGCGCGGCGTTCATCGCACGAAGAGACGACGGAAGGCTCGGCCGTCGTCGGCGCACTCGCGCGCGTGACTCAGCCTCAGCCCACCCCTCTCCACACCGCAAGGACCGACTGGATCCGTCCCGACCGGGCATGACAGTGGCTGGCTGGGTGAGGGTGCGGTGACTGACTGTGGCACTCCCACTTGGTCCTTCTATTATCGAAATCTCTGCCATAGGAATGCCTAGAGCATGACTGATGCACTCCCTATCGCAGAATCACGGACTATGCAATCTTATACAACGGCGTGCTTTTCTTCGACACCTCATACAGTGGACAGAGCTAGACGTATAGTTATAGAATGTAGAGAGAAAAACTGCTACTGTATGACTCGTTTCTATCCCTCTACGCTCCAACTATAATACAAGGGCGCATTCATGAATACTCACAAAAATAGACAACGATTGGGAATTGAATGGTGTCCTGCTACCATTGCGGGTCTTTTCGACGCACTACACTACCGTAACATTTCCATTCATATTTATGGGCTAAGATTTCAGCAATCGATCGAGAATGGCCATAAACAGTCACTTCGAAACCTAACGGTCAAAATAAATACATGAAGTTGTGGAAAAAACACCTGAAAAAACATCAGTGGTACTGCCCGTATGCGTTTGGGAAATTTCGAGAACGAAAAAGTCAAACAAAACTCTGGTGGTGTAAGCGCTAGAAGGCTGCCTTCAGTTCAAGTGGAAGACCACAGTTTACTGTAGCTAACAATGGTACGTCTGCCACCATTTTCTTTGTGCATCAGTTTCGTCAACGGGTTGAATCGGCAATCGGTGAAATATGGAGGCAGAACTTGACATTCCATTTTAAACGCTTCTGATAAATATATATTTGGTCCTAACATGTAAATAGAACGGACGGACAAAGTCGGTGAAAACGTGCTGTTCGATCAATTGCAAGATCGGTCTTCCACTAAAAGACTCGAAATGAAAAAAGAATTCTTCGCGTTGGTAGGCGGCATCGAACCTATGGTCCTCTGCGCGCCAGGAATCTTGCATAACACTACGTGACACCGTTCGCTTTTTATCAATGCAGTTATGAAATTCGCAATGAAAAAAATTGGAAGCTTTTGATTATATTCTATAATCAATATTTAGCACATCTCATTGAGATTGATCGATATTCTCAATCTCAACTTTGGATTTCGTTTCAGTTAAAAATGACACAAGTTCATCGAGACCCACTCCGTTTGTCTTGTGCCTGGAGCAGGTGACGAACTATGGAAGTAGGTGGAGTTGTACGTGGACGGAAAGGCGAAATCCATGGTGATCAGACGGCTCCAATTCGATTGATCGCCCGAGTTATGCAAGACGTTTAAGTGATAAGCATGTGAAGGGGTGGGAGTGTTATTGCACTGAGTCAGCGCATTTCCACGTTTCTTTACGTTCGATCGAGTCAGCCAAGCGCCGCCCGATGCTAACCTCCCTCCCATGCTGAGAACACCCTTGCCACTACCCCAGCTTTTGTACGAATTGGTATTCTGTGATGATCAACAGAATGGAGAAGAGAACAAAAGGAAAATCAACGCAAGAAGTAATTTGGGAGATTGGAAGCACAAGTTTGATAAATAAGAATTTGTACACGTGCGAGCAATGTGCTGTACCAACCGCCCAGCTTCTTCTGGCGTCTCTCTCACTATCCCGTTGCACGACAAATCAGCGCTTTCACCGCAAACAAATCCGCCACTTCTGACACCATCAGTTTTCATTTTTTTTATTCCTTCATCGATTTTTAATTCATTTTTAAATAGTTCCCCTAAAAGGTGAAGCAAAGCTGTATGAAAAACCATCCAGTTGATGTTTCACCAGTTACTTCCTGAGAACGAAAGTAAACACAGCGCAGTACTGGTTACCTATCAAATACAACTTATAGGAAACGTTTTGTAGAAGACTGAGAACTTAGCAATATCGCAAAAAAAACATGTATTGGGGTTCTAAGGAATTTCTGTACCAAATAGAGAATTCTCTACATACCTAACAAATATTCTCTATAATTGCAGAATTATTAGTCGTCGATGCACATTTTTCGTTCTACAATGCTACGAGCTAAACCATACCCAACGTACACGAAAAATTTTGGATGACAAGCCTAAGACAAATGGATAGGAAAGTCATAAGACAACGCTTGGCCTCTCAAAACAATCTGCCCTACAACTACCCACCGATGAACGACCTCTCAGAAAGGCGAGTAAGGAGATGAGCATACAGGTGTAGACTAATTCAGACCAATAACAGCGAAAAATAATGAAGGAACAACGAAGGTCTACAGTATCATCTTTGCATGCGTGACAACCAGAATACTTCATTTAGAACTCGTACACAGCACAAAGGACGCGTGTGGCACAGGCATCGGAGATGCCCCGCAACACACACATGGGATCAATCCCCGCGGCCCCTGGCCCACCAACCCTTCCATCCTCCGGGGTCAGCAAATTGTACCAGACCTGTCTGGAAGGATAGCAGCACTGGCTCAATACATGGGTAGATAGCCGCGAGTCATTGTGAAGTTAAGATATGCATTCAATGACCTCCAACGTTGCTTAATGAAGTCCAATGCATGACGCATCCCTCAGTGATTGACCAACGCACAGAGTTTTATCCCTTTTTTATGTAGCAGGTAATATATATAACACTAACTTTTGCAAGGAACATTATAAGAGGAAGCTAGATAAATCAGAAAACGCAGAGCCAGAATACTGGATGTCAGCAGACCAACAACCGCCCTGCATAAAAGCTCATCGTCGATGGAGGTTCTTCGCCCAAGCAGCGCTGCCCACCAACGAATTCGACTCTGTGAGACAAAGAAGACTCACCGCACAAACACACGGTTGTCTGCAATCGACTTGATTCAAGCCGGCCCTAAAGAAGACGAAGATATCAAAACGTTAGCCCGATAAATATTTTATACCAACCTCCTGTTATGTTACTAAGTCAAGAAAATATTGATTATTTTGCTTCCAACGGTTTACCGGCTTATCATTGTTGGGAGGTGTTCTTGGGTGTTGCTGCGATGTACAGCGGGGGGATTCATCACCAGAGCTGAGCTCCTAAACTGAGAAGGAGTACAACGTTTCCATCCGGAAGCCTAGCTAGGAGTAAACCAATACCAAGAATCATCACCATTTTCCTAACAATGTATATTTTTACACTTTCTCCCCTATCCACAAGGACGGTGACTGCCTGAGGTGGTGATGACCTGAGGAAGGCTTCGGGTAGGCTGACCACGGGACTCCTGGTAACCGCAATGGCCACACCAGGAAATCTCCGCACAATGGAAATTATGTTGGGATCCGCAAAATCAGTGAAGATGGGCCATCCAAGTATCCATGCAAGTAAGTGAATAATAAGTAGGTTTTAAGCGTTGCCAAACTATCGATTCAATAGAAATACGTGTCGCAAAAAGACACTGTGGAATGCTCTGTATCTATTCCCCACGTAGGAACCACATACTATTGTTTCGTGGCAATGGAGATAGTGCGAAGAGAACTCTGCATATTTGGCCTATTAGTAGATATGTGGGAGGACCATAACACGGTTCATTTAAAATTTCCAAGAAATTCATGTTCGACCAACATTCAGCATGTCTGTGAAAAGATTAGTTCCAGATGCTCATGTCGCGACTAAACCTGACCACCTTTATAGATGATGGATGGAAGATAACGAAAAAAAATGGAAGAACTTCTGAATCGAAAAGGTAACGCGGATTTACGAGCCCTTCAATTGGTCGATGGCTTTTTGGAGTGGCTCAAATGTGGTCCATACTGCTTTACCTCTTCTGTCTAATTCCTCCTTTTGTTCTTCTCCGTGCCCGTTGGATTCCCAAGGTCTACGACGAGGTTGTCCTTATAATGAGAGGACCATCTGCTTTGATCTCTTCACCTTCGCATCCTAGGATTTTATGAACTGGCTCCTCTTTCGACCCACTTATTAACCATAGTCTCTGCTTCGCTGGTACTTCTCAAAAAATATAGCGATTTTACCTGAAAAACCAAAATTTGTTAGGAATTTTCTGCCAATAAATAAGCTGTTTTCATCCCAAACAAAATGACTTCACTATCCGCTACACCGCAGCGGAAAATAGCTTTGACGATATAGTGTCACCTTTGGAACCACTTTTTGCATGGGTATTGTGAGAGGACGAGGAAGGGTGCGTGTAGCGCAGTGGTCAGAAGCGCCCTGCAACACACACGTGGAATCGATTCTCACGCCCATGGCCCACCAAGCCTTCCATCCCTACGGGGTCGGCAAATTGGTAGCAGGTTTGTCTGGGATTATAGCATCACTAGCTCGATACATCGATAGGCCATCGCGAGTCGTTGTAAAGGCCAGGTATGCATTCAGTCACCTCGAAACGATGCCTAGTGAAGCCAAATGCATGGCGCATCCCTCAGAGATTGATCAACTACGAGAGCGTTATCCTTAATCCTTTTATCGTAAGAGGACTGCATTTTTGCGGGACAACGCCAAGAACAATCAGATAGAGTTTTTATGCAGAACGGGTCCACTCTTCAATCGAGGAGTGATGGTAGGATCGCATTCGTTTCAACGCTGGAAAACGCTTTTTTAGCCGAGAACGGTAAAGATAAGAGGGCAAATGGGGCTCTCGTCAGATTTCTGTGACCCTGTACGTGGTTTGGATGTGGTCCATGTAGCAAAATCTCTGTCGAAATCCTGATCACTCAAATTCTTGTGCCTCGTACGAAATCCTTTATGTACGCCACAGGATAATCTTCCTGAAGAGCTTGTACAATACACTCAACGGGATTATCAGACCATACTACCGAGGATCCTTTCGGTCACTCTTCTTGGGCAAGATAACCGCGGGCGTTATCTTCCACTGGTTTGGGATTTTCTTCTTCTGAATATAAAATATTGCACACTTTACGAGAAGTTCATGTAGTTGGTAATTTCTATTTCAAAGTCGGCTGTAATATTATCAGATCCTGGAGCTGTGCTTTACTTCATGCTTTCTATCGCAATTCGAGTCTCATTGGGAGGAATTTCACATAGTTCTTTTCCGGCACTGAATTCACTCTTCGGGTATGGTGGAACGGAAGAAATTGGAGTAGAAAGTTCTTTTATCAATCATCGATATCATAGCGGAAAGTTGCAAAAATCCAGTCCTAGTTCATCAAAGCTTAGCAGAACACTGTACTCGTACACATCCCGACTGCATTTTTTGAGACTGATTCTTTGTTGTGGTGTTTCACAGTGTTTTTTCCACCTGTACCAATGTAGATCTTGCTCTAAAAACCTTTCACAGCTTTATTATCAGTCGTGTTAGGCGCGTTGCAGTAGGATCAAGCTTAGTTGCCATATTTTCCAGCAACTCCTTAGTGGTAATGGAGATGCAATCTGAACTTCTTGTTTGAGGAACTGAGGCAAGGGCGGCATAAGGTTTATTTCTTAAGTTGTAGTCCACGGTAGAGTCGTCCTTAAACTGCCAGTCACTTTTAAACTGGATTTCGTTAAAAATGTTTGGGTCGTATACATTTTGACTTCTTCTTCTTCTTGGTTGATAACATGAATGGTTTTTCAGCTTACGGCCGAATCGAGTCTTTGAGCGAAAGAGGTGGTGATTAGAGCCAGATAATACCAAGGGATGTATCAAATAGGCACCATCTTCTGTTCGTCTTGAACAACTAGCCATTGGAATGCGTGCACTTGGGTCGACCGAGCAGGCTGAGAAGCTCATTGAGTTTATCTTGATGATCAAAGTTACTAGCAGTAGGTTTCGATACCAGAAGCGTTCTTCTGTAGCTTGAATGTTGGAATCTTGCAAAGAAGGAAAAAAACATCGGATGGGAATGAAAATCAAGAAGTGGCAAGATAACTACTCTCTTCTTTTCTAGAGCGTCTTTTAGACAGCAGGACCCTAACGTGAAAGTCGATAGAAATTTCCTCATGCTTTCGGACGAGCTTCCTAAAACCCTTAATCACTATAGCGACAGGAAGCTCATCTCTAACCTTACAGCCTTTCAAAAATGTGGTATGCGAAAAATTAGGGAACCAGTTGATTCAAAGACCATTAGTTTATCACTTAGTGATAAGGGGAGAGTTTGTAGTTGTTCCTCGCTAGTTAGATATTGAGATAACAGAGGTACATCTCAGTGATGTTACCGTTTATTGCCCGTCGTCTGAAAAGGAATATGAAAGTCGATACCGATAACCAAACAAACAATTGGTCAAAATGAGAGGGGCAGAAAATTTAAAATCATTCGATATTTTGAACTTTAAAATGAATAGACGAATAGATCCTGTCTTATACTTATTTATTAAAGCACAGCTAGATAGTGATCTTGTGTAAACAAATCCATCATTCTTCAAGGTCAGACTCATTATCGGCTGTGTAGACGGGCCAACGGATAGAATGACATGGTTGTTAAGCTAACGCACTTAGCCAGTTGCCTAAACATGGTCCAGATCACCTCACGAACACCCAAATGTTCCCAGGACGTCTACGTAACGTGTCTCCTAACAACGCATACGTGGTGGAGTCCTTTGACGTTTCCGCGCTATACACCAACGTATCGAATGACTCCGCAATGCAACCCAGCCTCGAACTTCTTGTTGAACACGACGGAGGAATAAAAATGCAAAGCTTGTCTATTCAGCAGTTAATGACTATCTTAAAATAGTGCCTAGACTGCTTGGTTTTCAGACGGTCTGGGGAATATCACGCAGAAATTAGAGAGTTGGCAATGGGAAAGTGGCTAGCACCAAGTCTTGCCCTTGCGTTTTGTTCTTTTTCACGTC